TGACGTAGAGGGGAGTGCTGGGCAGGGCTGAGCACCACAGCTCCCTCTGAGCCAGCAGCGTGCCCATGTGGCATTAGGAAGGATTGGGTCAGCGGTTGTGGAGATACCAAAGCCCTTCCTATATTCCTGCTAGATTGTCAGGCAGTTGTTTTGGAAAGCATAAGTCGAGAAAGAAAGATGCATCCTGGCCAGGGGAGAGAGGGAGGGTGCTGGGATCTGCAAGCCTCCTGCCAATGAGTTAGGAGCTACTGGCGCCAGCTGTTTGCTTCTCAAAGGGAATATCCCATCTGTGACAGAATCATAGAATCACAGGGTAAATTAGAAGGTGCAGAATAATTTAGAAGAAGTTGGGTTCAGAGAACCTCTGTGCTCAGTGTGTGATACCCGCAGGATGCTTTCTCTTAGTGGAGACTTGGGGGACCTGCTGTGAAATGCATAAAGTTTATTGTTCACTTGTTACATCCTATGGTCTCCCTTGGTTACTTGTCACTGTGGTGACAATTTTTTTTATCTAACACTAAATTTTGCTGCCAGTACAGGAGCTGGGTATTGTATGGGGTGTATGCTTCATAGAGCAACCTACCTCTGCCATCTCTGTTGCTGTATTGCCTTTTGCACCCAGGTACGTCAGAGCCAGAGCAGATGATATACTCCAAGGGGAAAAGAAAATGTTTTTGCCCTTGTTGGTCTCATTCAGCTTGTTGAAAAGATCAACTGTAAACTTGCCAACTGATGTTGAGACCAGTTCCATTGCTACAACCTGGAAAGAGGCAACAGACAGAATTGTACTACTTGTATGTTTAAAATTATATACACAGTGCATATTAGTGAGAAATGTTACATATGCAACACAGTGCATTAGTACCCACTAAAACTAATAGCCTACTTGTATGTTTTATTTTCCACACAGATACCGTTTGCCACCTGTTAGAAGCAGCAATTTCTTTTAGGTTTTTTTGTTATCCAGATAATATTTTCCTGTAATTGTACATATGTCCTCTTTTATACAGCTGCAGTCTTCTTCATGTTTCTTTCAATGGTTTTCAACAATGTGCAGATTTGTAGGCTGCATATTTTTCTTCCTTTTCATGCTTAACTAATGATTTATCAAAGTAATGTTCCCAGGGAAATTTAAATGCAGTTTTAGTACATAGGTTCACAACACACCTGAGTTTCCCAATACTTCATTTTGGATCTGTATAGAATTGAGAGCTGACACTGAGAAAGAGTTTAGGCGTAATTCTTAGGCTTGTGTGCTTTTCCTGGCCAGCCATCCGTTCTGAGTAGTATCATGAATAACAAAGCTGTTATTTGCTTTTAGATCGATGGAGTTTTATTCATGATGTGTAGCTACCACCTCTTTTGTATGTTTCAGCAATTTTATTTTCATCAGAAACTGGCAGATTCCTCGAGGTTATGAGTATTCCAGACTTTAAGATACCTGCCCAGTAGTACCTGCCTCATGTTGTTTTTCAGTCAAAAAATCAGAAATGTTGTTATTATTGTTATTATTTTTATTAAGATTTATATCTATATCTATGGAATGGAGCTACAGAAATTGTAGGGCAATCTCTGAAGTCTACAGGTATTTATCAAGTGTTTGGTTGCCGAACCACTACAGTTCTTCTGGAAGTCAGTGTGCTGTCAGTACCAAATTTGTACCACAGAATGATTTTCTTTGCTTGGAGAACGTAACCAAGAGAGCATCCAGATGGAAATGTGTCTGTTTTCCGCTAATGAATACTCCTCTGAGTCCCTGGCCTGATAATGTGCAGTGCTGCATCTTTGCAGAATGAAAATGGCCTTTTCTTCACCAGAAGTATGAGACTCCTTTATCAAACTGAAGATTTAATTAATAAGGCAGTTACTGCCCTAAGAAACTTTCCTTCTGGTGATCAATTCTGCCCTGAATTAGCAGTTTTCCTTAGCTTCACAGATTTATTATCTCTAAGGGCTGACATCTAGAAAAACATGAGGTAAGAATAATGAACTGTATCACTGGTATATTATAATCTACCTGTACAGTCATGCAAGCCACAAATCATTTTTTAAAAACATCAGAAAAGTTATTTAGATTGGTTTAAATATTTACCTCTGATCCCGCAAGAGAGAAGACTTAGGTCTTGTCCTCTGTCAGGTTCAGCGTTGCATGTTAGGCAATGAATAAGTTTAGAAATATACTACTGTTTGCACCTCCCTTTCCTTCTCACCTACATCCAAATTTAGAAATATAGTACTGCTTGCACCTCCCTTTCCTTCACCCCTCCATCCAGGTTGTTTCTGCCTACCCAAAGCTCCTTTCTACCAAATCCCTAAAAGATCTTATGTAATTTTGTCCCCCTTGTTGACCGTGTCACTTTTCAGTTTCAGATATTCCAAAGGACGATGGAATTAAAATCTCAGCTCTTTTGTTACACCACAATAGTCTACTGACAGGATAGCAGAACAGTTCACCCATTCTAATGGTCTTCTGGTGTTGTGGAGATAACTGCTCTTTCGTTTAAAATAAATGACTAGAAAAAAGGTTACACAACCAGAATGCTTGGGCTTGGTTTCTGGATATAAGGAGATATTATAGGCCTGATTCTCCTCTCTGGCTTTGTGCAGCTGTGACTCCTGGGTTTCAAACGTGGTACGACAGCATAAAATGTCAAGCTAAGTGATAGAATTGGACTCTGGGAGTCCAGCTTCAGACTGAAGATCATTAGGAGCACAGACAGAGGCAAAGTCATCAAGGACCATTCAGGGTAAGGGATGGACGCCCCACTGGTTGTGCTGGTGAAGAAATCTCATTGCAGCCATGGCTGGGAATCATTTGAGAGAAACACTGTGCAGCTAGTGCACAGTACTTGCATGCAGTGAAGGAGGGCAAGGACTGAAGCAACCCCACTGGGAGGACTTGAGAGGGGATGGAGTGAAAAAATACAATGGGGGCAAACGTGGCCCAGTAGTTGCCACCTTGCAGTCCTAGAAGAGAGACGGGCTGCTGCTGGGTGGTGGAAGAAGGAAAAGGTGGTGACAGCAACTGTTAAGACCCTGCGAGATGGGGGAAAGGGAATGGAGGAGGGGAAGGAAACTGTACTGTGTGCTAAGCTTTTTGCGGCAAGCCTGATTACAAGAAACAGAGTGGGTCAAGTATTCTAAGAAGAGGCAGAAATCAATGTTGTGCAAGGTAGTGAAGAAATGCCAGAAATTAAACAAGTGTTGGTTTTAGTACGATGAGTATGTCCTCAAGAAATCAGGATAGGAGAAAGGTCAGTTTGCGTGGTTAGGTGGTAGGAAAGTCTAAGCCAGGAGACTCCAAGTCCCAAAGAAGTATACTGAGAGTGAGGATACTTCTTCCCTTTGCTAATCAAGATACAATGATGCCAGGCAGGATAAGAAAGGAAGGTGGCAAGGCAGAATGGCTGTTGACAAGAGAGAGAAAATCACACGTCTTAATTGAAAGAGACATCCAGAGGTCAAACTCCTGCTTAGAGCAGGGCCATCAGTAGCTAAGGTCAGCTGCAGCACTTTGGAGGATGGAGATTCCCCAACCTTTCTGGGCAACCTTCTCCAGGGCTGTGCTGCGCACCCTGGGAAAGGGTTGTTCCCTAATGTGCAACTCACCTTTCAAGTGTTGTGGCCATTGTCACTTGATAATGATCAATAGGACATTATCTCTGTCATCTTTGCAGTTATGCTTAAAATAGTTGAAAGAGAGAAAAGATGACTCACATTTCCATTAACTTTAAAGGCCTGTGATTGATTTTGGGTGTATGTCATGGTTTTGCTCCTCCTTGGCCTCCCAGACATGGCTTTCCCATCTTTAAGCACATCAGGAAGTGCTTAAGGGACATGGCCATGGGGTGTGAAGCCCTTGCATTAGATGAAGCAGGACATGGCAGAATTGCAACTGAATGCACAGGGATCCTGCGTTATGTTTCACAGCTGAGTCAGACAGAAAGCAGCGCTGTTGAGGTTGTAAGAGGATACAATAAAGCCCTTGCTTCACAACACTTTTCCTATGCTCCTTCCCATTTGGGAAGCAGAGCCATAAGGGACCCTAGAAGCAGTTGGTCACATGGAAGAAAACAGAAAGGACTCAGTGACAGTCAGCAGTCTCCTCTCTGTCAGGAAAAAGGAATCCTGCCATCCCAAGAAGAGGTATTTCTAGGAAAATGCTGGTGGTGTCTGCAAGTCCTGTAACAGACCCAGTCCTTTGCTCTCTGATCTCAATTCAGAGAGTTTGGAGCATCCCCTGCAAATGTGCATGACTGATTAGGACACTCTCCTCTTTAGGAGAAAGAGCTGTCACAGGAGTAAATGTGTACTGAGGGATTGGCATGTAATCTTCCAGAAGACACTTTGGGAGTCAGTATTACAGGCTTGATTCTCCAATTTGATCTTGCTTCAAACCAGTGAAATAAGTGACAAAGCAAAATGAGAGTAAAGCAGCGCAGTGCTGGGCTGGCAACAGTGTTGAATGCATGAAAGGATACAAAGGACAAGGTTTCAAGGCACATACGTTTTATTTTCCTCCAGTTTTATATTGTTGTTCAATATTTTCCAATTGCTCTGGGACAGAGACTAGAAAGTACATGTGTTAACCCCTTTGCATGCACGGAAGAAACACCAGTATCAGGAATACAGAGGATTTTGCAGGTTTATTTTGTTACCAGCTGTGCCAGGCTGCAAAGTTGGTATAAAACTGACAAGAATGTGGGTGAGGTGGCCCTCCTGGGATGACCAGCTTAGCGAGCTGAAACCAATAGAGATGCAGCAGAGTTCTGCAGGAAGGAATTTTTCCTGTTTCTTTTCTTCCTACGTACCAAAGCAAGTGTGTTGGGAATTACTGTTTTAGATCAATGTAGTCTGTCCTGCATCGTGGCAGTTCTGGTTCAGAAAGCACTGAAAAGCCACATGAATGTTCTTCTGTGCACAGTTTGGTACTTACAGTGTAGTGCTAAGCATTTTCGGGTTCTTTGGCAAGGAAAATGAGCCAGAGGCTTGAATTCCAGGTTATTTTTAATATGTGCTCTCTTCTAACATTGAGAGATTTGTCAACAGTACAGGAAAATGAAGAAGTAGTGCACAGACTATTGAGATGCTCTTTGTGGTGTGTATTTTGTTCATTATCGCTGTTGCGAGAACCTGTTTAGTAATGGTCAAGTTTCTAGGGGGAAGAGAACCTTCCCAAGAAGAGGATACTCTTGGTCTTGTTGTGCCTGATAAAGAAGAGGAAAGGGTGATCTGCTACAAAAATAATAGTAGCACCAAGACTTCTTGATGCCAGTGCTGCTGAACTGGCAGCTGCTGCCTCTGTGCCTTCTTCATTGACTTCCAGATAACACTTGTGAAAAACTTGTGACAAAAACAGCTCGCCATTCTCTGACATTGCTGTGAAATCAGCTTGACCTTCAGTAAAGGCATCTTGTATCCCCATCCTGCTCAAAGTAGATTTGAGGTCATATTTCTCTTCTAACGTGAACCTGGGCAGATAGACCTCCATTTTCATTTTCTCCATTAGTTCTGGGCTGGTCCATGCAGACAAGTTTTCAAAAGTCAATTCTCTTTCTAGCTGCAGTTAGTAAAAAGAGAATTAGAAAATTACAGAGTGTTAAAAACCTGTGCCCTGGTGGCTATTTCTTCTCTTTTCTTAAATGGAGAACTTTTCAAGCTGTTGTAAGAGTACAAAAAAAAAAAAAAAAAAACAAAAAACCAAAACAGTAGTGAAAGACCAATTAGGAGATCTTTCTGACTAAAGGAGTGTGTTGCTCTACAGTAGATCAATGCAGTATTTGAACTGTTCTCAGTAATTTTCAGGGCATATAGCAGGGTTAAATAGTTGTAGAACAAAAATATCAGTGTCAAGTAATAATAGTCTGGTTGCAGTTCACATTTCTGTCTTCCCTACATTTTAGAATTTACTGAAAAGAGCCTTTTTCCTGCAGAACACCCACTAATGGAAATGAGAATTTAGTCAGTTAATTATCCAAAAGCAGGATCCTTCTCTTTACAGAAGGTGGCAGTGTCCATATGTATTAGCTCTGGACTTCCTGGAAAGTAATGGAGGCTGTCCAATTTCTGGGGTTTTTTTTTTGGAATGAAATCTTATGTGTCTGAATCAGTACAGACTTTGAATCGCAGCAGGGCTGGTTTTCTGTCCTCATTTTTGTTCAGGTGGAAGAAGAGCCAGTCTTGAAGGGCTTGGGTTACCTATTTCCAGGACTGATCAACATTAGGAACCACAGAAGTGCCAGCTGACAAGAGTAAGAAATCTAGTCTGAGCTCCAAGAGTTTCAGTGCTAGACCAAGTTTGGGGTTTGCTTTTCCCTGAGCCTGATCAGGTACTGATGCCCCTAGAAACTTACTCCTTCCTAAAAACGTGACTGCAACCTGATCTTTTACCTCGCGCATGCATAAAATAAGTAAATAATTACACTCTGGTTTTCATATGATTTATGTTCTCATTAGCTTTACCTTTTGTAGGCCGGTGATGTCACTTGGTAGCAGGATAAACATGCTGAGGTCATTATTGACGTATGGAAGCTCAAGAACATCAGTCTGGACTGATTCTACGAACGTCCAGTTAAATTTATCACTCAAGTACATCATTGGCACTGGCTTAGTTGTATGCTGCAACAAACCAAATGAGATGTTTGCCATTTTTACTGAACAGTAAAGGACTGAGTTAAAGTAGCACAGTGGAAGTTTATTGTATTTACTGCAGAAGCTGCCCAGTGTGTCTGAGGCATCCTTATGGCTGTAACTGGTAGGACACAGGACCTACAGAGGACCTCTGGTCTTCTGGAAAGGCACTTGGAAGCTAGGCAGGCTATCCAAGCTGTCTCATATGACACCTATTACAGGAAGCTCTATTCTACTCTGATTTGTCGTATGGTTATAAATGAAAATGTAAAGAACTAACCCGTACAGTTTTGTTCACCTCTTCGTTTTCCCTGCCTTCAGAGAATGGAAGCTTGTTTCAAATTAGCTTCTAGCACGTACTAGTATGTGCTAGTATGTGTGTGCAGTCTTTGGGCTAAAGATGTGGTGAAGAAAATATACTGTATGCATTAAATGAAGTAACTTTCGTGCTGGATTTCATGCAAATTTAAAGACTGCTAGGAATTTCTCTCCCTCATGTTTTTCACTGATTTTTCTACCTGCAGGGATACAGGTCAGTATATTCCCATACCGTGTTTATTCTGAAAGGCCTTTGCCTGGTAGCTTTAGCTTCGAACTTTGTTGCCCAGTTTCCTTTGAAGTAGAGAGCATTTGTCAGGACTAGTCTGGTGAGGGAATCTACGGATCCAGGAGGCAGCAGATTTTTTATTTTGCCTAGAGAAAACAGAAGGACATTTACACATTTGTGCAGTTCTGCTTTTTCAGAGTAAGTGTTGGCACAATTTCTGTGGATATAAACCAGGGAAATGTTAAGTGCTGACAGAGCATGCTTGTAGCCTGAGATTACTCGCAAATAAGTGATTACTGGGCTAACCTTGATTTACATGGAAGAGTAAGCCACATTCCTCACATATTCCGATGGAGGACACTAATTTAAGTAAGTGCTCGTCAGTGGATGATTGCTTTAGGAAAACTGAGCTGATTTACCTTTCAGAGGTGAATCGTTTACCTGCCTTGGGCCCCTTGGGTACAGCGACTGTGTTCGGTGCTGAAACAGCTTGTTTTTAAATTGGGAGAGGAGAGGCAGGAGCTTACCTTCAGTCTGGTGTTCGACCTTAGAATTGATCTCCCTCCTGGTTTCATCTGCTGCTCCCACAAAGTCAACTGATTGTGGCTCGGCGTTGTAGTATTTCTTGGCTAACTGTAAGTATTCCTGCAGTGCAAGAGAGACAGCTGTCTTATGTTTGTTGGCTGCCAATATGAATGCTAATAAATAATTACAGCCAAATAGAGAGAAGACATGATAAAGATAACACAGACTACAAGCACAGCATTTTGTCAAGGGAACAAAGTATTTTTTTAGTGGAAATACGCAATTTAAATGTTTGCACATAACCACATCTGCTAATTACCCTGAAATTAGATACACATCCCATAAAACTAAAATTTTAGTGTCCAAAGTCTCAGGAAGAATCTCATAGAAAATATTTATGTTAAGAATAGCAACATGATTTGCAGATGTAATGAAAATATTTAAAAGCATATAGTTTATGGTACATTGTCATAGATAGATCATAAAGATTAAATGGCACTACATAATCTGAATAAATGGCCTACCTACCTTGCTGAAAGGCAGTGTTTTTTCTCCATATAACTGGTTGACGCTTTTAAGCAGGTAATTTGTAGTGGGTTGGTTGATTGCAAAGTTGAGTGCTTTAAACCCAGTATGGATATTATCCGATTTGCCAATTTCTGTCTTGGAGAAGAGGAAAAAGAAGTTACTCATATGTTGTGTAAAATAGTTGAAATTTCTAATTTCTTCCTTCGTGCAGCTCCATGTAAAGTATTTCTATTAAGGTGTTCTGTTACCTGTATTGCAACACAAGAGGTGTTCTAAACCAGACAGCTATTAAAAGAATCATTTGAAAGTATTAAAAGTTGCAGGCATGGTATAGACACTTCAGTGTCTCAAAATGCAAGTGGTAAGAGCCTGAACTATGTAAAACATTTAAGGGTTTCTAAGTGGAGATTGTGAAACTAAGTATATCCAGAGAGTGAGAGACAGAATGTTATTTTTAAAAAATGTGTGAATATTTGGCTGTGTGACTTCTTTCATTCATGAAAGTTCAGTGTGTTACATGGAAAGTTTGCCCCTAAATTTCTTAATATTTTGCAATTTTTATAATGTTGCAGTAATTGCAGTAAATTAGTTATCTTGAAGTAACAGAATTAAAAGAATGTGGGCTCAAACTCTAAAGTGAGCTCAAGGAAGTTAAGCTGTGACTTAGTAAACTAAAAATCTGTGCTGTATTCATCTTGTCATTACATCAGAATCAGAGGCATGAACAGACACTTAAATTTCTACACTGTTAGAACGGGCTCTTTGCCCTACCCACAGTGCTCTGTAATTCTTACAATTCAGACAAGCATTACTCATGAGGAACATGTCTCCTGTTCATGCAGTGCAAATGAGTTGTTGACATAGCCCTTAAAATAAATCTTCCCACTATAGGATTTGGCTGCGGAATGCAGATCCAAGTTCCCATTCATCAGAACTCGCGGCCGCTGGGGCTTTGTGGGCAGGCAGCCTGAAGGGAAATAGCTCACTCCCACAAAGAATAAGGATGACTGGAAAGAGCAGGGAGAAGAGCTTGATGCCACCGTGGTTGAATTGTCAATGAGGAAAACCTGTCTTTACTGACTCAGAGGGATTACGTCTGCTTTTCTGTATTTTTCTGCTGTCTTAGATTACATATACTTTGGCACAAAATGTCTGCCAGTATGTCAAAGAAATAACTCAGGAATATAATGATTTCCACTTCTCTAAGATCTATTGCAAGCAACTGGTCTACCTGGGGAAATTCCAACATGTCAATTCATTTTGTTAACTAGTCAACTGAAATGGAGACTGATTTCTGAAGAAGGCTACCAACCAAGCATAGGTAGCCTGGAAAAATTAATACTCATTTTTTTGTTGTCTTGATGCTGCAATCAATTGCATGGGAGGGCAGCTCTGCTTTTGTGATTAGCTCTCTGAGGCAGGTGCCATGTCTGTTCAAAGAACAGGCTTTTTCTAAATAGCTAGCTATTGAACAGTAATAATTTGAGAAGTAATTTCTCCTCAAATCTAAAGGAAAAAGATCAAGAGATATATTGACAGAGAATGGTAACATTAAATTTTAAATTTTGCAAATTTGAGGTTGGTTTTTGCAGTTCTGCCTAAAAAAGGGTATCATGTAATAAGTATTGCATTAGATGAAGGTATCGCAGGATGCCATACCAATTGATTGTGTACCCTACGTCTGAGGCAGCAAACATAGGCAAATGCAAATGCAGAAGGAAAATACAAGCAAGAGAAGATGTGACCATGCTCATAACTTGATCACTAGATTTGGTGAGATACCTTCTGGAAACAGGCACATCGATTTGATAGACTCTCTTCTGTTCTGGAATAGACTTGCATTTTTATGGTTGTGGTGACATTTCTGGCTCCTTCAGCTTTGTTAAAGTGAAGTACCTGTAGTGGAAAAAGCAATAATAAATGCAACAATAGAAAATGTGCTGGTTCGGTAAAATCTTTCAGTGATGTCATGGGACTGGTGATGAAGAGAGTCAAACTCAGATTTTAGTCTTGTGTCCAGTCCTGACTGAATATGAAATCTTTGTTTCGGCCTTGAGGCCCATGCCTACAAAATAGCATGAGCACACTAAGCTGAGGGTTGCAGGGCAAAACTCTCATGTAATTAGCATTTCTAGAGGAATCTGCCTGCTTTGAGTTACGCCCCGGGCTCACCAGTTAATGTCTGGGAAGAGCCAGTTATCTCCAGATGGAGACTATCAAAGCAGAAGTCTAAATGGAGCACTGCTGTGTGTCAGAAAGCATGAAAATGACGGGGGCAGTTTCACGCATTAAATCCATTGCTCTGGGCATGTGCACCTTACGCAGGCTACAAAGGGGTGCGTCCAGCGTTGCAACATTGTTCAGAAGAGCTATGCCTTTTTCTTTGTTGTTTTCCCTTCTTCCAAACAGAACATCATTCCTTTCTTTGTTACCCTTCTGGCCCTCTTTTGCCCCGTAAATCAGGAGTTAGATCACTGCCTGTGGGACAATTTCTTCTGCTTTAGCAAATGCAAACTCACAAGCCTCACCTCCTACGATAGGAGCTGGGTAACTGTGCACTGGGGCTCTTCTCATTGCTGCCTGCTGCAGCTCTGAACTTTGCACAGATACGACTTAGGGATTCCATTAAGTGATTTTGCCTGTAAAATACATACCCCGAAGAACGGGTTGTAGTCTCACCGTCTTTATTCTCTGATCTTGTGGGTGTGGATTTATGTTTAGCAAAGTGCAAAACTTGAAATAGCTGTAGGGGAAAGTCTTTTTGTGGGGGCTCATTTCCAAAGAGATGAGAGGTGAGATGGGAACCATCTATGGCAGAGTAGAAGGAGAATCCAGGTCTCCCACTCCCTGGTGAGTGCACAGGTTACTGAGCTTTAGGATAAAGATCCCTTATTTCTGCTGGTGAGATTTAAAAGGAGACAATGTCACCAGTGCCACTTCTTTCATTTGTTGGGGGTCTGTTTCCAGACTAGACAATTTCTTTGACCTGCACAAGTGGAGAACTGGCCTATTTGTTGCAGTGCGCATCAGGGGTGAAACAGGAGCTGGCATATACATGTGTAGAGTTTTGATTAGAGTAATTTTTCTGCTTATGGCTTTCCTCTGTTCTGTCACAGTAAATTTGTTACAGAGAGGATCTTATTCCAAGAGATCAACCCTTTCAGACAGCTGCCTTTTGGAGCCCAGACTCACCTTTGCCATCTGATCTGCAGTGTTACCTTTGGCTCCCAAATAAACTGTAGCCAGGGCAGATGAAATACTCAAAGGGGAGAACAAAATATTCTTGTCACCATCTTCCTGACACTCATGTTTGAAAAAGTCGAGAGCAAAGCTTGTGTTTGCTTTATTCAAAGCTTCCATTGTTCTGAACCTGCACAGAAAGGGAGAAAAGATGCGATTAGCAAGCCGCTAATTGTGACTATGTCTCTGCAAGTTTCTCTTCAGGTTTTGAAGTTTCTTTGGTAATTTAAAGGCTTTCTGAAAGTATTTATCTATATGAAGAATAAGGAGGATTAACTATTATAAAGTCATATAAGGTTTAGCATGTCCCGTTTCACTGATGACTCTAGCTATCATTTAGGTTAAAGAAAAAGCAGCTGCCAACCTTGTTTTGCATTTTTCACCAGGACATTTATTGCACTGTCCTTTACAGCATCTTGGAGTGACAGTTGATAATGTTACTCACCAGTGCCTGGGCTAGGGGATACTGAGACTGTCTCTTATGACAACTTTTATGCTTCAATTTGTGCAAGAGCCTTTTGATGCTCATAACTGTAGTGAACAAATACTGTGGTAACAGTAACGGTCAACAGTAACAGTCGAACTATTCCTTTAGGACAGGACAAAATACCCCTTCCAATGCTTGGGCAAGCACCGCCCCAACTATTGCATGCTAAGCATCCTGAATTCCCTTTTTGACTTTCAAAAATGTCCTGAAACTCTGTCTTACAGTGCTAGCCCAGATCCTAGCTTCCCAGGTCTTCTGCAGGATGAGGTTTCCATATTCAGTAGACCACAAACGCTATTTATCATTCACATTGCAGGTTTAGCTGAGAGCTTTAGGCAGGGCCTGAGAGATACTCTGGTTGGTATAGGATGGCCTTGGAATAAAAACAGTTTGTGCCTGAGTAGCTTGCAAACCAGGAGCTGATCTGCTGTTCGTAAGAACTAAAGAGCACAAGAACAAATTAGCTGACTTAAGCAAACACGGTGGTTCTTACTGTGCTATGATATATATGCTAACCAGTGAGCTCTTGAAATTACAGAACTCTGTACAATAAATTGCTCTACCTGCATATTTTTAAGACTTCCACCTTCTAGACCGTGCCTGTGCAGTCTTAGCAAATAACTTTCCCAAGCATTTGTTGTTCACAATTCAGATCCCTACTTCCTTTTTTCTATGCATCTGTCAACAAAACAACATCATCCAAGAGTATGTGAAACAAATAATCTCTAGAAATCATTACAGTACCTTCGTTTGTGCAGGGAGGAACACTGCTGCTCGGGGTGTCTCCAAGGTTTCTGCAGTTCACATGAAGGGTAGGGAGAATTTATAGTGTGTCTGGCCAGTTCTGCAAAGGTTCTTATGACTCATGAATGTGCAATTTGTTATGCCCTGAAGGCCACATCCCTGTGGAAGAACTGAATCATCTCAGAGTAGGATGTGAAGTGATGGTGAGAATGATACCATACAAGAACCTTACAAAACTGACAGCAGAAGTATTGCTATAAACACTTTTGTGGCAACAGGCTAATGACAACTTGAACCTGCACTACTTTAAACAACCTTTCTTTTATGGTTTAAAAGATTTAAAAAAAAAAAAAGGCAGTTGCTGACCTACTTCTTTTGTGATTTCTGTAATAGAAATTCTTTCTGAGGAACAGACAGACAGAAAAAAGACAGTGACTTCTTATGTGTGAGTTTTTCTGTTGTCTCTTTCCTACTGAGAAAGTATTTGTCACTCCTGGTGGGTTTCTGTTTTAGAAAAAATGGATTTTGTTACTCTTGGAGGGTTCTAAGATTGTACAACCAGGGAAATGTTGTCACTGTGAGATAGTGAAGGCTAAGAAACAGACACCAGACTGATGCTTTTGTTATCAGTGGCGACATCACTAAAACCTGGTGTGGGTCTTAGGTTAGACTTGATTTTTCTTCTGCTTCTGTTTCCCTGCCCTAACATGAAAGCTGCTGTTTGACCAATGTAGAACCCCAGAGATCTATTCTTTATTTTTCCATTCCAGAAATAGATATTCTGTCAAATCTTCTTTTTCTACTTGTCTTGGCTACTAAAATACCTCCTTCCCTGATTTCCTTGCAGTCATGCTGTCCCTTTCCTCTGTTGTCCTTTTTGTAGCTGTCCATCCCCACTCTGACCCCTCACTGAAACACCCTGTGTAATCCTACCTTTGCCCTTTATTTCATTCTTTACCTCTCCGCACTGTCAAAAGTACCACCTTGAAAACATGGATAGGAGCTACTTCTCTCCAGGGCTGCCTCCTCAACGCTGAGCAAGACTCACTCACAAGGTCTATCTCCTCAGCATTCTGTGACCTTTCTTCTGACCTGCTGTCTATGAGCATACATTTAACAGGGACTTATGGTATAGGTCAGTGGCTGGCACAGAGGATCCTGTAAAGAGGAATGAGCCATGGGAGTACCTGCAAAATTTGGTGTAGGGTGTAGGAGGGTGCAGAGAGTCCCTTGCCAATGGTGAACCTTCTGAATCGATATAATTCAGGAACTGAAAGCTTTGTTAAAGTTGCTTTCCTACTTGTGAGGAACCACTCAACTTTTAATCGGATGGTGTTTTCCTGCCCCTCGGGTCTTTTGAAATTGTAGCTACACAAAATGAGCATGTTTCAGTGTGAGTTGTAATTATATGCATCTGTTACGTTTTCCAGAAAGCAGCGTAGTGTAGGAGAGGTGTTCGCTGCAGAATTAATTGCTTCCATTGCTCCTGGGAAAGTTGTAATCTGTTTACATTGGCTTTAAGTGATTTCCAAAGCCTAAATGATTTGAGTAATCTTCACAAATTTAGCCGTGTTGTTGAATGAGTGATAGATACACTGGATAGACTTCATCCCTTAGAGCAATTCCTGTGGATTTTCTGGTTTTAAAGCAGGTGTGAATTTAATTTGCTAACTTGTAATACTGCTTGCTGCTTTACAAGAAGTGGCTGAGGTGTTCTGTTCACGCAGAAATGCTGGGCTGCACTGAACGAGAGGCTTGTGCCTTTGTACAAGGTTTTAAAGCTACATTTTTAAAACACCTCTTGAATGTCATGGTTGGTCATTAGCACCAAAAAAAAAAGTATACCGAGTAACTAAAATTATACTTGTCTCAAAGGACATCATATGCTAAATCAATGTGATGGATTAATAATGTTTTCCGATATCCTTTCAAATTGGCACCACCAGAAGACACGGCTCAATGGGTGGTGCGACTGCTGACTCAGTAGCAGCAGTACTCTCACTCCCAGTCTATACTAAGTCAACACAGCAGCACACCAGAAGGCTTATATTTGTGTTAATAGTATCCTTCCTGTGGGAAGTAAACCTGTGGGCTCTTTCACAGCGGTCAGTCATGTTTCCATTTGGTCAGGACAAATATTGGCAGGACTTCAGTGCCCTGGCCAGATCTCAGCTATATAAATGCATTTTGTTTTCCTCCAGTTTGAGTGTAATTTAGCACAAGTCATTGTGACTTTCCTACACAGTGTGTTACTCTGTTCATTAACACCTGTGTTCAGGAGTAGGTGAAATGCTTGGTGTCTAAGCAGAACATTTTAAAGTGCTCTAGAAAGGCTCTTAAGGGTGCTGAGAAAAAGGCTTTGTGTCACAGGAAAATCGTAGTTTCTGCTTTCACAGAATCACACAGAATCACAGACTTTTCAGAGTTGGAAGGGACCTCTAGAGACCATCTAGTCCAACTCCCCTGCTAAAGCAGGATTGCCCACAGCACATTACTCAGGACTGCATCCAGGCGGGTCTTGAAAATCTCCAGAGAAGGAGACTCCACAACCGCCCTGGGCAGCCTGTGCCAGTGCTCTGTCACCCGAACTGTAAAGAAGTTTTTTCGTGTGTTGGAACGGAACTTCCTACATTCCAACTTGCCCCCATTGGCCCTCGTCCTGTCACTGGGAACCACCGAGAAGAGTGTGGCTCCATCCTCCTTCAACCCACCCTTTAGATATTTGTAAGTAGTAATAAGGTCTCCCCTCAGCCTTCTTTTCTCCAGGCTAGAGTCCCAGCTCTCTCAGCCTTTCTTCATAAGGGAGATGCTCCGATCCTTCAATCATCTTGGTTGCCCTTTTGCATAGTATTTTAGGATACAACTTTCCATGGCTTGTTTTCATGTTCACTGGTAGCTTATTTTAGCTATCAACTCTGTACAGCTCTTGGAAATCTGATTTAATTCAAAACTAAAGTGTTCTGTATTTCAGGTAGATCAAAAGAAAAAGTGATGTTTGAAGGAAAGCTGTTCAGTTTCCCTGACATCTGCAAATATTTTTTTACCAGTATAAGCACTGTTTATTTACTTGGCAGGGAAGAATTTCTGGTTTAGCCAGCAGAGCACTCTGTTCAAGTTTTTGGGTCAGTCAGAGCAGGCCAGTAAACACGAAAGGATTTTAAATGTCCCCAAACCTTTAAAAGGACCTCAGGAGATACAAGAAGCATGGGGAGGAGAAGGGTTTTGAAATCTGGGAATATTTTAATCCCTTTGGAGGTCTGATACATTGGTTTTTTTAAATCTCTGTGTGATTTAGAGTTAAAAACTGTAAGGAGGACAACGGCACAGAAGATGTGAAAATAGTAATGGTGCTGAATGACTAGATACAGGAACTTTTCTGTGCTAAGGAGGACTGGCTACTGGGTGATGCCTCTATCATAGTATAACTGAGAGCATGGCATGAGCTTTTTCTAACCATGTCAACTAAAAAAAACACAATAGTTTATATGAATCACCTAGAATGGTTATAACAGATTTTGGTTTGTGCTATAACAGATTTTTATGTAAGCTAAGTTTGTATCATCCTGAAATTTCAAGTCGTTATTAAGTTTAAGAGAGATTAGTTCTTTAGCTATCTTTTTTCCCTTTGAAGCGTTGATTGAGAATACACGTGTTTTTATTTTGAAACAGAGTGGATAGCTATCTCTTGTGTACCTCCTACAAGTAAGTTTGCAAGCCTTCCCTTGCCAAGCAATCCTTGCTGACATACTCTAACAATACTTAAAACCTTATGAGTTGCCAGAGGGTGTGGTGACGTTCCTGTATAAATATTACTGAGGCATTTTGCTCCACGCCTGCAGAAAGCAAAGGTGTGGTGAAATTTGACGGTACAGGCACAATTCATCATGCTTTACTATTACTTCTACATGCTTTGGCTTAGACACTGTAATTAATAAAGGTAGTGTTTGTCCTGAGAAATTCAGCTCTGTTAAGAAGCACAACACTTCTGAGAAAGTACTGATGTCTGTATCTCAATAGAGATAGTTAATCTGTTAATGAATATGCACACTGTTTTCACATATGCAAGGGTGCAGTTTTCCTTTGAATGACTCAGGCGGTGAGCGTTTTAAAAATATCCCAGGTAGCAGTTAATATGAAAGATATGAAGAGTGGCCTGAATTTCTGAATCATGATACACAGTACTGCATTATGAGTAATGACGTATATGTGTGGCTTCTATGTACTTTAACCGAAACTTGTCATTTTTCCGAAGAAATCTCTCAAGGGGTGTAACTGTACGTCAACTGCACAACTGCTGAATCAGAAAGCTGATCCCTGCTTTGTGGGAAAGGGAGTTTCCCTCGCTCCAGTGCTGCAGTGCAAGATGTGCCATGTTGTGGGATGAAGAACATGAATATCAAGTCAATGTATCTTCAAAACACATTTCTAAACTAGAGCACATCCTAAACAGGAACCTTGTGCTCATGTGCAGGGTATAGAGAAAGGGCTTTCTGTTAAGGAACACATTTAAACATTGGCTCTTTTTTCATACAGCTCGACTGCAAATATTCTTGCCTGGTGGAATGACTAGGGCTTTCACAAGGCAGTTGGTATTTTCAGAATTTTCATCAGGAGAATTTCCCAGATATTCACTTGTGGAACTGTACTGGAAATCTTAGCTGTTAACTGATCTGCTTGGCACCTGCTGGCCCTTCGTAGTTTCACACTTTGTAGGCTACCCTTGCAACTGACCTGGACTCCCTGGTTAAGTGCATAGACAAAGGCTGGAGAGTAACACCAAAAAGGGGGGCTTGGAATGGAATATCCCCCTCAGACTGACAAGGACCTTGGGTGAGCTGGAGCGTCATTAGTATTATTTGAACGTGTCTTACCAATGCTTTTGCCATTGCAAGATTCTTCTGTCTTTCTGTCTGTCATGTTCTCTGCCTGTTGCACAAAGGAGCTCAGGCTCTTGAGACCTGGCATCCTTTTACGTAGTTCAAGTTAGCAAGCTTTTCATAACAGTGACCAAGTAGAAATTAAGGACGTGATACATGACAAGTATGACAAGATGATCTCCTGCACCTTTCTGCTCTCAGACAAAATGAGACAGAAAGTTTT